CTATTCATTACTTTACGTATTTATTACTACTCAGCCTCGACATAGAGCTTCTTAGCTCAGTCGGTAGAGCAGTGGGTTCGAATCCCGTACAGGTCTCAATTTTTTTCAGTCTTATTTTCACTACTGCTTAAGTAGTGTTCATTACTGCGAAGACCGCTTTGATATTCAATGATAGTTATGTTAATTTAGTGCGACAGCTGGTTTTCTTACAAATTGCGATGGTCTGTCACGGCAGAATGCTACATTTTTTTTTTATTAATGTGTGCGACATGTATCAGTCTAAGTGCGACAGTTTTATTATAAAGTGCGTCAGACCATTGTACCAGCTGGCGAAATTACTAAATAAAAAAACAGAAAATTATAACATGGCTTCCTAACAACAACTCGACATGGCGCTAGCCTAACTGTTCTCTGGAGATGGAGAGAGCAATTAAACGGTGAGATGTGTTCTGAAATCGTTACCTCTTGAAACAAGTCATCGAATAATTTTCGATGAATATATGAAGTTCACATATTTTGAACTGCGGTTATAGATACGTATGATGCACGATCCTCGCAGTAGAGAGCGCTATTTATGCAATAGCGAAAATCAGACCTGAAAAAAATCAGGCCTGTACGGGATTCGAACCACTGGTTTGATTTTCGCTATTGCATAAATAGTGCTCTCTAATGCGAGGATCGCGCATCATACGTATCTATAACCGCAGTTCAAAAAAAATGATATGAACTTCATATATTCATCGTATCTAATTTATCACAGGTTTATTACGAATCAACTTAACGGCCTGCTCCCAGTTGGCTTGTTAGCTCACTGCACTAGTATCGCAGAGGTCAGTGGTTCGAATCCCGTACAGGCCTGATTTTTTTTAGGTCTGATTTTCATAAATAGCGCTCTCTACTGCGAGGATCGTGCATCATACGTATCATCGAATCATATTCATTATTAAAAATGGATCAATGGATAATGCAACTCAAGACTTTTTATTGGCTAAGCCATTATGGTATATGAGCCAATATACCATAATCTAATATCTGTACATTGTAACATCCGGTTTCTTCTTACAAAATAAATTCGAGAAGATTTGTCTAATGTCTTGGGGGCGTTTTTTTTTTTAATAAACAATTATTCCACTCGCGCTTGTTGGATATGAGATGATTATATCGTGGAATAATTGTTAATTATTCTATTGTTTGATTATGGCCTTTCCATGGCCGTGTTATTTCTCATATTTATTTACTTTTTAAGCGAAGAATTGCGAAACGACTACTAGCGTTTATGTTCGGTAAATCCCCTGTGAATCTAATTTCGTTCGCACTCTGGACATGCTGTGCTTAAGGCTAGAAGACTCAGGTCTGCAAAGCTCTGCATACGTTGAAGAAATATGTTTTTTCGTCTTTTCACGGGCGTGGGACGAAAACAAATTCTGAATCTCCACGAGGAATCGAACCTTAGACCTTCGAGTTCGCATTTGGCCACTTTACCATTGATCCAAAGAGACTACTATAAGCTAGGCCACCACTGAGTTAATGTATGACCCGTACCGCACATACTGCCAAACGGGTTTTTAGTGCAGAGAAAGACTTATTTGGTCTGAATATAATTTACTCGTAGTAAAAAAAAAACCCAGTATTGATCTAACCTGAGTAATATCTTCCTAACAATAGTCCGCTGTCAAAGGCCTAAACTAAAAAACCATTTGCTGTGAAATTCCGGTGCAAAAAATATCAACCGTTAACCATGGAGACCCTCAATAACGGACGGTAGTGTCAAAAATCGAAAGCTATTGTTAAGTAACAGACACTTGCGTCCAACACCACCATCTTGAGTTCGCGCGAAGAACAGTATCCATTCACTCATTCATAGAAAAATTATTGGTACATACGGTGAGCAATAACGAACAGGCAGCGAACATTTCGGACTGGGTACGAAAATCTTCGATTTCCTGTATAAAAAGGGACATAAATGTCTACTAATTTGACGGATAGTAGGGTCTAACAACAGATTCTAACTGGCCTTACTGTCAGAGGTTATACGGCATTGTCCAAAAGTGAAAACCGGACGCTTGTGTCCGGAAAAAATAAACAAAATACGAAAAAAGTGCTAGAAATGAAAATAAATCTGATGGAAAGGGAAAATTAGAAGAAAAATAAAAATTTAAAACGAAAAACAACAACAACATAACAAAAAAAGAGAAACATCCATAGTCCTTTAAGGTAAAAAGGAGGTGCTTTGCACAATCACGCGGTATAGAATCATCGATTTGGCTACACCTGAAATCGTGTTTTTTAACCCTTTCATTTCCATGATCTTGTTAGTAATTCCCCTGTCTGTCTGCCATACAATTCTTGTGATGTTACTTTGGAGAATTTTGAATTGGATCAACTAATAATTCCTCAGTTGATATTTTCATTTATTCTCATCACTTGTCTGCTTGATTTACCGCCGCCTGGTTAGCTCAATTGGGAGAGCGCCGGACTGCTGTGCGGGAGGTCGAGAGTTCAATACCGGCCGGACCAACACTCAGGGTCTTAAAATTAACTGAGAAGAATATGCTTCCTTTCTATAACATCAAGAAATGGTTAGATATTCTAGTCTTCTCGGATAGGGACGAATAAATGGAGGTCCCGTCTCCTGCAGGGTTAGGGGCAGGAGACGTTAATTTCCCACACACGAGATTACTGTGTGATGGATGTCCTCCCCTGGGGTGGGTTGGGTGGGTAACAGGACCCCTGTTGATACCAGTGTTTACTACACTGAAGGGGCTATCCTGTATAAATATAGATGTCTGTCTGTCTGTCTGTCTGTCTGTCTAATATTGTAAGGGAAGTTCTGTCTTGGTCACTCATTGTTATGAACAGTTCTAGTTTCGTTGCGTGACTTTGAACAGATTATCGATTCGATAATCCAGGGGATGATTTGCGTGATTATTTTTCTATGTTTCTCTGTGGTTTTCTATAGTTAAGCGATTGCGGTTTCCTATATATGAAAGCTCATGAATAGTTCGTTTTCCTTTATTTGACAGTTCATGAATAGCTCGTTTTAGGACTAGATTTTTTAGGTTTTGATTTCCGTTGCGATCAGCGTCAGTATTGCGAACATTGAATTAAGCTTCATCATACTTATTAGTTCTCCCAAGCCACAGAGATCCATTCTTCAGAATCTTCTAATCAAGTACAATGAAGATTAAAGAAATCTCTGATGGTTTGATACGTTTGCTGCCTTCTGCACCACTCATGGAAGTTCAAAGGATTAAACGCCTACTCTCTCCCTTTTTACGAAACAAGACCATTTACTCAATTTACCTGAACTTGCCGTTACTTTGTATAGGAGTGGATTTGATTATGATTTTTAAACAAGCAAAAAGAGACAAGTATTGTTTGGTCTTGTTGCTTACGCCCACCACTTGTTTTTACGTCCACAAAGGTGAAAGTGAATCTGGTTTAATTTTACTGTAATCAGTTAAAAGCAGTATCTGGCTCTGGAAGTATCTGGCTTGAACGATTCGCCCACGCTACATGCATCAACGCCGGCTCTCCCATTCCATTTCACTTTGATCTTTGCTTTATCTTTTGCAGTCTTTAAGTTAATTATCAACTAAGTCAAACGGTAATGTCTTCAAAGCTGAACGACAGCCCCACATTCTGTGAAGTATACGAGGAATTACTTCGGTTGATCGATTTGTGAATTGTTGTCGCTCAAGCGAAAGGCACCGTTATTGCTTTGAGTTGAAAAGACAAAATCCAGCTAACTGGCTCTTTAATCATTTGATTCAGGAACCCTTGTTTTTGTCTAAGCTGTGTAGGAGGCACATACACAAAAACGTTTTGTGCATTTGCTTTCCTGCCTGCAAACATACAAACTCGCGGTGAGTTTATACTAGGTCTGTATGAAGAAAAACAAATGCGCGCGCAAAATTCCAGAATTTTCCCACAAAGGTTCGCGCACGTTATTTACATTTAAAGCACCGAAATTCAATATTTGATTAGGCTATACGTTTCGTTTTGTAAATAGGAAACATTTTTTGTGTAGAAAGAGAGACATATTAAAAAATTAATTTGTTGCTCAGGTCTCCTAGACTGTAAATGTAGAAAATTTGGGAAAAGATGGAACTCTTTGCGACCGAATTTTCTGGACTTCAGAAAAAAGAAAAGCTTTCATATTCGCTTTAAAAAAGTTTATTGAAGAGTGCTTGCTTAGAACATCAATTGTCACCGCTGATATATTTTAACAACGAAAATTTCATGGAAAAAAATGATCCATTTATTTTATCAGATTTGAGGAAACTGTCCTCACTGTTCTTGTCCTGTTATTGCCGCCGTCATTAGCAACTACTGAGTAAGATAGCTGAGTGATTCCACTAAAACGAAAGTCCCGCAACATTTCAGGTGAAGCGCTTTTCTCGATGAGCTGAAAAACCAATGGCTGAAGTATGGATTAGAATTAATTCAAACATTTCAAAACCGCCTGTTTGAATATTTCATATTGCTTTGTATAAAATCGCTGTTCGATATTCAGATCTTGGCGCCTAACACCGTTTGTCATCAACAAGTAGTTAGGGACAGATTCGTGAAGTATAAGCTCTTAATCTGTGTGAGGAGAGGTTTCATGTCGTTCAGTGTTATAACTTCCCCTTTACACCGCCGACGCCACTTCCTTGAAGTCATTAAGACGAGACTTTGTGACTACTTTAAATTAATCAGTATTAATTCTACATTTTAAAAAGATGGTTATCTAACTTCATGGAAAGTTTTCGTTTTCCATAAAACATAATTTCAAGTATCTGATAAATGCGTGGCAAAATAAATCAACGAATCACAGTTCTGATGCGAATCGCCTCAGGTAACATGCTGCATTAAATATTTAATATATTGAGGGGGCTCTCTCATTACTTTATTGAGATATGTTTAAATTTTCTTAACCAAAAATGGAAAATAAACAATGCACTTGTATATAATTTCTTTCGATCGTTTCTGCTCATACGCGTGAAACTCGCGTCGCTTATCATACAGCAAAATATCTCGTTCATTGAACGTGCGATAATTACCTTGTTCAATCGGTTTTTTTGCTTCAGCTTTGCTTTAGTTGGTACTTTGTGTAAATCCAGACGTGTCATCTTCTAAATAACAGTGTCTGGACTTTCCCACGATTATTTGGTTAGTTAAGGTCGTTCTCAGCTAGGCTCTTCCAGTCTGTTATGCTCTGTTTAGTTTTACACCTCACAATTCTCGCCATTTTACCTCTATCCACTCTTCGCTCGAACCAGAGTAACACGAGCGTTGGGGAAATTTGAAGAAAAATTTGTAGACTAGGCTGAGAAACGTATATTTTAAAAACGTTTGGTGGGTGTGTAACGATAGATACGTTTTGACTCTTAGGAGTGCCTTGGAAATGCAAGACAGCCATGGATTTGAGTTACAAAGCAAGGTGAGAAGGTGACGACAACGCGCTGGGGGTAAGTTCGAACTAACTTATTTCAAAGTGTTTTTGTTCTATCGCCGTACTCTTTATTTTGTAAAGGGCTTTGTTGGAGTCTTATCGATCAAAAGAAAACAATTTTCAATTTTTCTTCTTAATAGATCTACTATTTCTATGAAATTTCATGTTCTGTTGGAAACTCTGAATGTTTACAATTAAGCACAAACTTACGAGTGATGAGCAATTAATTGAAAAGGATTCATGTGCGCCTTTGGAGATAAAAATTCGAAAGTCCATATGGTCTGCCCTCTAGAGCGAAGAGAATGTTGGCGCCATGATAATTTGCCTCATAATTAAATCACGATTCAATAATAACGCGCAAAACACCAAATTGTAGAAAATTTCCCACTGTTGGAGGATCGCCATTTCAGTGTCTATTTTATAGCTCTCTAGGTCTGGCCCTTTTCTACAAATCTTTATACATGGCTAATCTATTAATTTAAATCGTTTTTCTATGGTAGGTGTTAACGTTAATTCCCATCAGCTATAATTCTCAACAACTTGCAAATGCAAATGTGCGATTGTACTGCACATTATAATAAGCATTTTAGCGGCTCCACAATTTCCAAATTATCAGCGCCATTTATATATAGTTACATATGTTATTCACGTGATTCAGTTGAATAGACCTCGTTTCTAAATTCACTCTTACAGGTGTTCATGTTCGGAGGACGTTTTGTTCGCGTTGAAATATTTCACATCTCAGTCCTTTTAGAGAAACCATGTACTGGTTTGCGCACGTTAAAAATGTTGCTTTAGATTTTTCAAATTCGCTATTCGTGATCCGTTTCAAACTTTTTTCGTCTTGTTCCTTCTTCGTTTATAAATGCCACTTCTATGTTTTGTCTATTTTACCGAGCCAAATGAATGTTTTTTTTTCCTCCCTCAATGTAAAGATAGTTTTCAACGGCGCATTACTGTGACTCAAAAGATCACCAGGTGGGAGGTTCAAAAGAAGAAAAAAATATGTTGGTCGATGCTTGACTACCGAAGAGTGCTTGATATTACGCTTCGAATATCATAGGAACACGTTAATGCTTCAAACGGTGTATTACAACTGTCAAACCCTTAAATTGGGTTGATAAATTCAATATATAGTCTTAGAAGAATTGGTAATTTCCTTTATGTTGCTTACACTCATGCTGTTCTATTTACGGAAAACATTCTCAACTTTGTAAATTTGAGCTCAACAATAAAGGTAACTCCCATCAAAAATGTAAATTATACGTTAGAATTTCTGTGTCGACGTAATTTTGCGTAATAAGGCACATTATTTTTATACCTTCCGGCCGATATCGGATTTAATTGTGCGAAAACTTCGTTGAAAGCTACTGCCTTAAAAGTTGGATCAATCATAAGTGTAAACAGTGTCATTAAAAAAAGGGCAATTCATTTAGCCTTAAAATACTAAAAGGACACTAGCTGAAAATAGAGGATGTTTATTGTGAGTTTCAATAACGCAACGCATCTTTACCTTTCGATTTAGATATCCTCAATCACTAGCAGTTTGTAATAAATCTTGAGTTCGTTTGTGCCCGCCCTTCAAAGCTGAAGTTGATAGCTTGCGAATTCTCGTTCCTCAAGGTGAAAATCCATTAAAACAACAACTTTCAAGTAATTTGAATACGGTTTCAAGAGACACTGCATGACACTTGACTAATGTCTGTCTTAACAGTTGAGTCTTTCTGACATTGGCCTTTTCAAAGCTGTTGTGACCGCACACTTCACGTGAGTTCTAGAATCCCTTGAAACTCTTTTTGTGTGGCTGTTGAAATGAAAAGGATCCTGACAGCCCAAGTAAGTGATTAAGAAGTGAAAATTCAATCTCTCATATCATATCTTCGAGATCCGCTCACTTCACCTGCGTCGCGAAGCCGAATTCACCGAGGATTTGGGTTGAGTTTTAATCAGCTCTTGTCAAATGTGAGGGGGTTAAGTCGCGTAGGTCTTCAAGTCAAATATATAACACCAATCCAGGACAAGTAAGTGATAAGTTTTTTTATATCAGCGTTTGTCCAATTAATTGTGCAGCGTAGGGATATAAGGCATGCGAACAACAATTTCCACATCGAATGAAACTGATCAATGAAACATCTTCGCAGACCTGAACAACTAGAAAAACCTAGGTGTTAAAAATATAGAAAACAGAACCTTTTTTGCAGCAGTTTAGTGCCATATTTGGCGCATACGTTCCTTCTTGGAACGAAAGGAAGTTTTTCTGCGCTGAAGTACAAAATTTCGAGCTTATTTCTTTATTATTTTTCCAATTACGTCGAGTGAATTTGTTTATTTGCCAGACTGGGACTAGCTTGCATGGTGAATATCTTTTGAATTTACGAACCTTTTTCAGAAACAGCGCAGTCCTTCCATTTAGTTGCTAACACGTGATTTTGCTTCAGCAAGTCTTGAAAAGGGAACATGCTAAGTTATACTTTGTGACTCAATAAATTTGCATTGTCGAAGTAGGTATTTCAGCGCAGCGTGATGTAGAGGTTTTTATCTTTAGGGGGAGGAGTCATCTCAGCATAAATGACCAACGTGATGTACAGGTTTGATGTTTCTCAAGCACTCTTTACTTAGAAACACAAAGAGTAGTTTTAATAGCCTGTCAACGTAGCTGTTCTCTTCCACTTCTGTCTGCATTCCCTCCGGAACAACCTTTTATTTTTGCTACAGTTTGTGTTTGTGGAAAATAACAGAAAGTGCCAGAGCCCAATCAACCTTAAGTGCGTCTCTGACCAAGACAGCCTATCAAATTGTGCATTTTTTTAATTTCCATTTCGTCGTTTTGTGTCACGAAGTAATCGATTTTCCTGTAGGCAGCTGAGTTTCACGTAAAAACAGTCTCAGTTCATTATTTGGAATCAATGTTTGTGATGTTTTTTTTGCAAGAACATACGAAGAATTTACTACAGGCTGAGTGATAGTCTCATGTGAGTACATTACTTTGTTGCTCATTTATCTTTGAGCTGGAGACATGAGTGAAAATTAAGAGTGTATTTTTAGCGACACGTTGTTCGTGGCATTAGAGTAAGTGGCAGACATGCCTGGGTAAACATCATAGTAAACAATGCACTTTGATAGGACTTTTCGAGTCACATCCGCATCGATTTATTAAAATACTAAGCTTTGTAATTTTAAGAATCCCCTTAGAACGTTTTCAGGCTTAAATCACCTTCACAGCTAACATCAGTGTGCATATTCTCCGTACTGTCCTCTACACAGTTCATAGGTGTTGACAAGGAGAATCTGTTAAACAATCAAGAGCTTCCTTCTTTAGTAGGTGATAATTTCTTTAATTTCTGGGTGATAATGTGAGACAAATTAGATGCTTTGATGATAACAGTGTTTCTCTGTATTAGTTTAATCTCGCTTATAAGTAATAACGCCAGGAAAACTGATAAATTTTCTTGGCTGATAAATTTTCTTGGCTGATAAATTTTCTTGGCTGATAAATTTTCTTGGCTGATAAATTTTCTTGGCTCTCTTTTGATGAGTGATTCCTAATGTAATTGTGATCGAAATTGCATAAATTCAGCTTTTCGTTTTAAGAAATATGTAAAATGAATTATCATAACCGATTCTTTGGTATACTTGATGGTAACTTGAGAACTTGTGCACTTTTGGGATAATTACTTTGTCTACCAAAAGGTGATTTACGTTGCGAATACACCGTCGTGTCTTTCACTAAGTTGGCTCTATAACGACATCATTGTAGCGGTTCACATCTACATCTACATTTATTAGAGTTGGTAAAACCTTGAGAGGTATCACACCAACTATAATCAAAGAATGATCAAAGAATGCAACTATTTTTTCTGCTAGGATGAGAAATTTCAAATTTTATACAAACTGGCTGTAGCTCCCTAAAACTTCAATTTCACGCAGTCTATTTAAGTGCCAGCATATTAGAATCTAAATGTGATATTTAGTTCATCTTCTTATCCGAGGTAATGAATTTCGTACTCTGGTCTCTATATGTTTCATTGCTTTGCTAATGGAAAACATCTTTAGGAAATTTACGGACCCTACATATTCGGTGCCTTGTTGAAAAAAGTGTCTTGTCTTTTTATTATGAAACATTTCTCTTGCGTGCTAAGATCGACTTCTGTCTAAAAAGTCATTGTTGAAGCAGACTTTGACAAGCATTTGGTGTAATTGATCGCAATGAGGTATAATAGCCTCAAATGAAACATATATTAGGTTAAATTTCTTGCCATGGTAAAATAAACACAAAATATTTGGAATCGAACCTTAATTTTTGTGTTTATGGAGTTGGTTTACATTTTTGATTTTTAGTTGTTGTTGCAGCTCTACTGGATTGGGTGGGACACTTTTCCATTAAAATGTGCTTAATACGCTTAAAAAACCATCCATTGGGAAATTTTTAGGCGAATTTTTCCCTAGTTCGTCTTCCCTCTCTTTCAGACTTGTAAACGCACCACTCAGTAAGATAGCGCATTGGAAATGGTCGCCTGTTATTGATTGGGTGTCTTTGTTTTTTTGAGGTGATCAATTTCTTTGGCGTTCTGTTAGTTAGAGAAGTAAATTAGAAGTAGGTCGGTAAATTCATGAGGAACATGTGCTGAAATTCCTGTCGGGCAGCTTACAATATTTCATAATATATTTGCGATGATCAGCAAACTTCTCAGACCACCTATAAATAGCCATAACTTTGTTTTGTGGTTTTCCATTTTTCGTATTGAATCGATGCACTACTCAGGACCGATCATTAGGGAACGGCTAAGATAATGACCAGCAAATCCTGCCTAGGTATCAGCCTTTGTCTGGGAAAAGCAAACAAATAAACAAGCAAACAAACAAACAAAAAAATTAGTTCCATGCTGAACACCCACGCAAAGCAACATTTTCCAATTCAGAATCATTCATAAACCCATAATTCATGATGAGTAGGTTAATCTAATTCTTGAGTTAGATCTCCCTTTGATAAAGTAATTGGTAAAACACGAAAAGAAA